TTTTTGAGTTGGAGTCCCACTCTGTTGCCCAGAGTGGAGTGCAGTGGCCGCTCCTGGCCACCGCAGCCTCGACCCGCTGGGCTCCGGCTATCCTTCCGCCTCTGCCTTCTGAGTAGCCGGAATTACAGGCACGCGCTACCACGCCCGGCTGATTTTTTGATTGATTGTAGAGATGAGGTCTCGCTGCCCAGGTGGGTCTCGAACCCGCAGCTCAGGCAATCCACTCACCTCAGCCTCCCGAAGGCGCGGGATTACAGGCTGAGCCACCGAGCCCGGCTAAATAAATATTTTTTAAAGGTTAAAAAAAACCAAAACAAACACCGCTCAGCAAGATCAGGTGAATAGGGAGGGAGGGGCACAGGGGCCATGCCATTTTTGGCCAAAAACTACTGAACACTCAGCAAAGTGTGGGCAGGTATACTCATAAATCACCCATCATAAAATGGGCAAGTGCATTGAAAGAAGCTTCAAAACAAAATTTCACTGAAGCCCAACAAAACCTCTCACAACAGTGCTAGCTGGTACACTGCTGCTGATGGGTTCCTAGGACACTTACCTGGAGTGTGGAGGGAACCTGTACTACAAGAGACCCACCCTCCAAAAAGTAATCCCAAATTTTGGGGGATCTTCCCCCAAATAATTATGTAAATGTTCAATCATTTAGTGATTCTTGGCTCAGAAGGATCTACTTTGCTTCAAGGTAATTATCCTCACTTGTATATGAAACATCTGGACCCTTCTTTTATTAGGGAAAAAGGGGAAAAGCCACTAATTTAATCTCTGGAGGAACATTCCTTTATTAGGGCGTTCTACAAACTACCTAACATTGTTATATTTGTATTATTGACTACAATGTGTTAGATGAGAAGATAGATTAAGAGTTAAGAGACAGCTGCTTGTGGCTGAGCTTCCAAGTGCAGCCAACTGAACTTTACTCTAATGTCTCTTCCTTCACGGTGATCTGAAGATGTTCTTCCTGCAGCCCCTTGTGACTGACATGTGTCCCTGGCAAGATCTATGAGGAAAGTAGGGCAGGTATTCCAAAATGAGAGTTACTGGGTTATTGTTGATATTTTGTATTTTCTTTGAAGTTGGTATTTTTTTTTTTTTTTTTTTGGTCTGGGTCTCACTCTGTCACCCAGACTGGAGTGCAGTGGCACGATCATGACTCACTGAAGCCTCAACCTCCCAGGTTCAGCAGACCGTTCTACCTTAGCCTCCTGAGTAGCTGTGACTGCAGGCACAAATCACCTCTCCCAGCTAAGTTTTTGGATTTTTTTTGTAGAGACGAGGTCTTGCTATGTTGCCTAGGCTGGTCTCAAACTTCCAGGCTCAAATGGTTCTCCCATCTCGGCCTCCCTAAGCACTGGGATTACAGGCATGAGCCACCTGTGCCTGGTCTGAAGTAGCTCTTAAATTGGGAGGAAATATCAGTCTAGTTCCACTACTTAGAGTTCTCTCTCAAATCCTCAGTTCTAGGCATTCCATAGTCAGTGGATATGTTTCCAACTCCTGCTTATTAACAAACATGCTGGAAGATTTATAGAGCCACTTTAAGTCCCCAGGTCCATAGACACACACATCTCACCAATAATAGTCTGTGAATGCACAAGATAAAGTAAAACAATAACCAAAACAAAAACATCTTACATTCTGGAGAAAGAAGGCATTCTGGAATTATTTGTATTGTCTGAGATGAATGCTTATTGTGTAAAATATTCTGCTTCACTTTTTAAAAATTGAATTGGCAGTCTTACTCTGTTGTCCAGGCTGGAGTGCAGTAGCATGAACACAGCTCACTGCAGCCTCGATCTCAGCCTCCCAAGTAGCTGGAACCACAGGTGTGTGCCACCATACTTGGCTAATTTTGTGTAGAGGTAAGGTTTTGCTACGTTGCCAAGGCTGGTCTTGAACTCCTGGGTTCAGGCAATCCTCAGTCTCCCAAAATTCTGGGATTAGAGGTGTGAGCTACCACCAGCAATCTGGCTGCTGCTTCATTTTTTAATGAAAAGGTCATTTGCAAATGAATCAATTAACTGCATTTATTTGCAAAAGGGCAAGGGTGACCCTGAAATAGAATTTTGTGAGCAATTGCAAGTTTCAAACTGAGAAGATATAGAAATTTGTGGCAGGAATTCATTCAACAAGCAAATACTATTACTATGTGATATTTCAGATTTGCAAGATGAATCAGGCATCTGATCACACCTGGAGAGGTTCATAGGCTAATAGAGAGAGAACTGCCCAGAGTACTAAAGTACAAAATGAAATATAATGCATGCCCCCGTGAAACATACAGAGGACTATGGAAATTATGAGGTCAAGACGCAGAAACAAATCTTTGCATGAGGTAGAAGTTTTTAAAATTGTCTCAAATTGTACCTGGAGTTTTACTTCACCATCATTGTGAAGTCAATAAATGAGGATTTGGATGACACTGTGCATGATGGGACTTCGTTAAAATCATCAGTGGCTTCACAGTCTTATATAGAAGACAAGCACTATTATTCTTCATGTGTAGTTGGAAGTTTAGGCAGGGAAGTGTTTTTCTTCTCTGTTTTGTAGTCAAAACATGCTTCCCAAGGAATCGGCTGCTCCCCATAGTCTTTTCTCACTGAGTAAAGACTATCAAATTCCAGGCTAGAACTGGAAGCCACACACTTCTCACTCCCCACCACGCTTCACAGAAACCCAGGGTACCCCAGAAACCATGCTGGGAAGTCTGATCTCAGAATGCTCCACCCTCCTCTATGGGCTGTGACCACCCAGTGGTGGTGGGGGCTGATTCAGAGCTGGGAGGAAGCAGGCTGAAGAGGAACATTAAACTCTTGTTTGCCAAGAGAACCCTATATCTAGAAGGGAGGGGAGAGTTGGAAGCCGTGTCTCGACATGGTTAGATATGTGGCTTTAGAAGATGATGTAGCCGGGCTCAGTGGTTCAGCCTGTCATCCCGCGCCTTTGGGAGGCCGAGGTGAGTGAACTGCCTGAGCCCGCGGGTTCGAGACCCGCCTGGGCAACTTGGCGAGGCCTCATCTCCACAATCAATCAAAAAAATCAGCCGGGCGTGGTAGCGCGCGCCTGTAGTTCCGGCTACTGGGAAGGCTGAGGCGGGAGGATCGCCGGAGCCCGGCGGGTCGAGGCTGCGGCGGCCGGGAGCGGCCGCTGCCCTCCAGTCTGGGCGACCGAGTGAGACTGGACTCAAAAAAAAAAAAAAAAGAAGATGACGAAGGTAGCACCGAAGGGATAAAGATGGCTCTACTGACAACCAAAGGGTGACTTCATGGGCACAACAGGAAAGAATGAAGGCCAGTGGCTGTAGGATGGGGCTAGTTGGGATGAAAAGGAGAAAGGTAGCGAGGCACAAGTGTTTTCTTTGGAACTGTGAGCGCAGGTAAGAGAAATGAAGTGGCGTCTGTTGGCATCAGGGAGAGGAAGACCCTGGGTCGGTTTGCTTCCTGGTAAAGTCAAGTGGTGGGGAGAGGTGAGGGCATACCAATAGATCCACACACGCCGTTGAGGCTCATCTCAGAGTTCTGAATGGAAAGCTGGTCCGGAGTGAGGCGACATCGGTGGTCTCTCCCAGGAAACAAGCGCGTGCTGTATTCCCGAGCTCAGTTCCCCCAACTGTGATCTATGGAACACTAGAGCTGAGATTAAAGAGAGGGGGTGAAAGGGCACTTAGAATGATGGTGTCTGACGAGAATGATGGTGAATGATTGTGCCTGGGTTATAAAGCGACTGCTATAGAATTAGCATCTTGAATACATGCCAGCAGATTGGCAGTATTTATTTCATCTCACAGATTTATTTTTTATTTCCCACACAACACGGATATATTTTTGCTTTTATTTTATTTTTAGAGATTTAGGACCCTAAGAAACCTTGGAAGTCATCTGGTTCCCATTTTATAGATGGATATGGAAACTGAGGCTCTGAGAAATGAAATGGCAAACCTGAACGGGCCAGTATGAGGCAGAACCAGGAACAGAATGTGGCCATCCTGACCTAAGGCTAGGGTTTTGCCACTGTGACCCGCCTCCCTCTAAGTCTCCGTTCTCTGCGATAATAGCAGAAGGTAGAACCTGGAGTTAAAGACCGTAAAGTCCCTGGAACACGCTCTCAATGGTAGCGTTTGACTAGCCTTTGCCTTTGTTTGATGTGGGTCAAGTTCGTTGGCATATTTCTTCTCAGCTCACGTCTGTCATCTTAATGTACAGACTGGCATGAAAATGATCTGTTTGTAAACCACAAGGGAAAGTTGCTCTGGTTTTGTTCTCAGCACCTTCAGAGGAACAGTCTGTGGGAAAACCCCTCCATACCTTCCCTTTTCTCCTCTTCTTGGTACCCTGAAGCTGATGACTCCTTTTCTCGGTCAGTAGTTTTCATAGCTTAGTCTAGGAAGAATGCCACTATGTGTTCTAGTCCTTACTGATCCTCGGCAAAAGAAGGAAAGAAGATGGTGTAGGCCATTTTCCATAAAACTCTGTTTCAAAAGCTTAAAGGACTGTCTTTTATTTGAAATCACATTCTTCCTCTTTTGTCTGTGTAATTTAGATGCCATATTTCTTTTTTTTTTTTTTAAGATGCCA